TTTAGAGGGAGATTCCTCGCATATAAAGAGCATATAGACATGTCAAGCATGAAAGAAGATTGTAAAATCAGTAAAAAGAGAAAAAAAACCAGTGTAGAAGAGTTTAGCAAAATGTTATAATCGTATGCAAACAAGGATGTCCAAACTTAGTTCAGAAACTCGAAGTTGGTCTGAAAGAATAAAAACCCTAGTTCAGGCAAATCATAAAGCAAAGATGAGAGGGCAAGCAATTGAATCGAAACATGTTTAGAGGTTTCAGAAAAGAGCTGAAACTTCTAACATGCTTCTTTCAACAACAGAACTTATGAGAAACATGATAGAAAAGTAGCTTGCAAACACAGTAGAAGGGTTCAAGGCAAACAGAGTGGAAGAAACTAATTCGAAGCATAATGAGAAAAGACTGATAAGAACAGTAGAGAAAGCATGCTAAGAAATTTTAGAAGAATCTTTAAACAGAGCTCAGTAGATGGAACTTAAATAAGGACACATAAGAACTTAGTAGTGAAAAATACAGTAGGAGAAACACAAGAACACAGGAGAAAAGAAATACACTAGAAAAGCATACGAGAACATAATATAGGAAAACATAGTAGGAGAAGCATACAAGAAGATGGTAAAAGAAAATACAAGAACACAGCAGGGGAAAATATACACGAAAGACAAAGAAAGTTAGAAAAATACTTAAAAACTTTCAGAAGAGAACCCTAGATTGGAAAACAAAGATTTTTGAAAGTAGTTTTTTGAAAGAAGAGTCAGGAAAATCGTTTGAGAACTCAAGGAAAGCATAGATACACAACAAATCTAAAGGAATCGGAGAAACCTTGAAGGGTTAGGGTTTCAGAAGAACCCTAGAAGTGAGAAAGGCTTTGAAGGGCCACCGATCTAAGTCGGAGAGGTCAAAATCAGGCTCGAGCAACCATGGTACGCCGGAGCAAGGCTGGAGATGGCCGGCGATGGCCGTGGAACTCGAATCGAACGAAGCCTGGACCAAAGTTCGTCGTGGTCAAGCCTTGAATCTTCAATGACCAGGCATGTAGGAGCAATAGGAGGTGAGTATAGGGTCTCCATAGCCTTGGAAGCCATGGATTCCGGTGGCTTTCACGGCGAAGATGGTGGCTAGGGTTTGAGAACCTTCGAGAGGGTTTGAGAGACTGGAGGGTTTAGAGGCGGCTGGTAAGTGAAAATGATTAGGGTTGGGGGGTTTGTGAATTATAAAAGGTAAGGACAAATAGGGGCCGTTGATCTCAGGGATCAACGGCCAGGATGAGAGGGGGTCTAGGTCGGGTAGGATTTAATTGGGTTAGGGGTCGGGTAAACTTAGGATTTGGGCCGGGTAATGGAGTTTGTAATTGAGTCCAATTAGGAGTGCCAAATCTGGCTAAAATAAAAAAAAATAGGCTAGCATTTAAATAGCTATTTTCCCTTATTTATTTTATGAAAAATAGTAAAATAATTTCTTGAAACAAATTAAAGGTGCTAAAATAATTAATAATATATAAATATTAATTTAAAAATACTGGAGTCAATTTTATAACTATAAATACAATTAAATCTTAAAAATAGGCTAATATTGTAATTATATGCAATTTAGCTTTAAAAATACTAAATAAACTTGTAAAAATATGCAAAAATTATGTTAGCTATATTTTAGTATAACTATGAGAATCCAATAAGTGAATTGCCAAAGTGACAATTTTGGGAATAATTATTGGGTTTTTTCTTGATAAAATAGGGCAATACAATTGGTTTAAAAATATTTTAAAAGTTAAGGAAAAATAGGAAACCCTTGGACATACTTATATATGCATACCTATGCTATTTGAAAGGTATTTTGTATATAAAAAATATACAGGGAAAAATAGGGTATCAACAAGGCCTTCTCATCGCTCGAAACTTTCTTGAGCTCGGCCTCAAATTGGCTCAGCTCGGCTCTAAACTTTGCGACGGCCTATACATGAAATGGAGACATATCAGTCAAACGAAAAGAAAGAAAATATTGCAATATTAAAGGTAAAGTACTTACCCGAATAAGGAGACGTTGAGCCTGTTCGAAAATGGAGGATGCATCATTAAAGTCATTGGCATCCTCAATCCCACCGTAGCAACCTTGAAAAGGATCGTCCTCAATGACCTTTTTTGGGTCGGGCATATGCATAGCGTTGGCTTCTTCGATTGCCCCCTCAAAATAAGTTGATAATGAAAGGGAATGACCCGTTGTCGCGGCCCCGAGCTCTTCACTCGGGGCGTTATCATTACGCCTCCGGTATAGTTGTGGAAGGTGGAGGGACAATCTCGGCCTCCGGGGATGCAGGGGCCTTGCTCGTTTTTTCCTTCAGGGCATCCTCACCACAGGATGAGGTTTCCGGTTCGAAAGGCTTGGTGACCCCGACTAGCTTCCTAGTACGAGTCACTAGCGCCGACTCTTCGTCATCATTTCCTTCATAATCCTTGGAGTCATGGGCCGAGTCTGCTCCCATTTGAGCAAATCTTTTCCGCACCCTTCGAGCGGGGGTTTTCTTGTCTTGAGGGTCTTCGGGTTTCGAGCCCCTTTTTCTTTTGTTGTCCTTCTCGTACTTTAGATTTGAAGGCTTGGTCTTTTCCCCGGGCAGAGCCGGCCTCATCTCGGATGCATCGCCAAGGCCTGCACAGGTAAGCTCGATTAAGTTAAACACCGCCAATGTGTGAAAAGTGGTTGAAACCTTTGAAAGGCACTTACCGTGGTTCTTGGCCTCCCTTTGGCCCTTCGATAATTCACGCCACTTGCGCTCATCGTAAGAAGAAGTGGAAGCTAACTTTTGAACCCAATCCTCGAGGTCGGGCACCTCCGGGGGCGCCTAAGCATTGGCTACCAGAAGAAGGACAACACCATTATGAAATATGGAAGCAGAATATCAATAGGTACAGGGAATACAAACTCCACTTACGGATAAAGTTCCACCTCTCCGGGAACGGCATTTTATCCTCGGGGATGACGTCCAAAGTTCTTACTCTAACAAACCGGCTCATCCAACCCCGATCTTTGGGTTCGTCAGTACTGGCGAAGAAGGATTTCGTTATTTAGCGTTGCAGCTTGATGAGCCCTCGAAATAACTGGAGCCGATACTATCGAACCAGGCGGTTGAGGGTGAATTCCAAACCCTTGGCATTTTCAGAAAAATACCGCAACATGATCAGGATACGCCAAAAGGAAGGGTGAATTTGACCAACGGTGACTTCGTACGTTTTGTAAAAGTCGATCACTACCGGATCGAGAGGACCCAGTGTGAAGGGGTATGTATAAACACTCAAAAACCCCTCCTTGTGGGTAGTAATGCTTTCATCGGAGCTCGGGATCTGACCTTCAACCTCATCTCCCCAGCGACATTCCTTCTTTACATCCTTGGTAAGCTGCTTCGTTATCAAGCTAATATATCGAGATACGTGCTCGCGTCGGCCTTCGACATCGAGAGGATTCTTGATACTAAAGTCGTTCTTAACAATGCAATTGCTGGGGGTGATTTCCTCAAGCGTTGGTGGCACCACCGGTTTGTCGACCGGGCGGCAGAAGAAGATGATGCTTTATCCTTTTTGGGGACCATCTTGGAAATTTTGGCCATGGTTGTAAGCTAAATAATACGGGTGCACAGGGATGTGGTGTTTCCGGCAAGAGCTTGGCATTTTTCCAGCTCTTAAAGAGGCGGAGGAAATGAGTGATTGAAGAAAGAGAAGAAGAAGGGAAATGGGTGAAGAAAGAGTAAAGTTCTTTACTTAGAGGAGTCGCAGAAGGGCAACGACGGTTCGACGACATTAGTGGCCAACCAATACTGGCATGCATTCAATGTTTTTTTGGGAAGTGGACCCACGGGACATTTCGGTCACTTTGAACGCTTGCATCATGGGGATGATGTCATTTAAGGACTTCGGGAATCCAATTCGTTTCATATCATTTCATTCTAAGAAACGCGGGGGCTATCTGTATACGGTAGAAATCAGAGAGCTCGATTTTGAAGACTCAATTGCACTCCGAGTATGAGTTCTGGAAGCTGGAAGTAATAATCAAGCAAGGCCTGGATGTGGGCACTTCGAGAAGCAAATCGGGGACCCGTCAAGATCTGCATCGAGGGCAGTACAATTTCGAGGGCACTCAAGGAAGAGCGGAAATTTCCAAGAACACATGAGTCAGGGCATAAATTATAGGATAAGATTTACACGAAATAGTACAAGTCCGTACTAGCTAGGTTGTTATACAGCTGTACCAATAGAATTCTTTATCATAATTGGAAATGTACCGTATTCGGGTTTTCCCCTCTTATATAAAGGGGACCCAATCATTTGTAAGGATCATCTCATTAACCACAATAGAACATTCCACTCTGCTTTTCTTGTTTACCGTGCTCAACAATTGTTCTTCAGCTTTATTGTCTTTACTTTATTGTTCATGCTTGATTGCTCTTAGCTGACCTCGAGGCCCCTGAGATAATCGAGCTCCAGGTCCTTATTGTTCTAACAACACTGGTTTGGTTCATCAATTCTTCTTACTTAAACTTAATATTACTTGTATATTTACTAGTATTAGAATATATCACAATTAGAAATACAAGAGCACAAGAGTGTCAACAGTAACCGAGAAGTGGAGGAAGATTACCTCAGCATTGTAATATCGTTGACTATTTCTAACAGTAGGTAGAAATATTATATCTTTTTCTTCGGTAAGACATTCAATAAATACAGCTACAACATCTATTACCTAGCACTGATTTAATCGCGAGCTAATACCATACTAATAATATCCTCTTGTCTTTCTCTGCGTCTAAACTTGAGAAGTACAATCCAGTACGACGTCAACCTCAAAGATCTCCAAGAAATTATCTGATCTTTGAAAAGGAAAACTGCAGCCATGTCTTCCTACACTGCCCAGTGGCATACCTAATCTGGTCACTATTTTTAACCTTTCAAAATGCTTTTTTGTCATGCCCTATACAGTAAGGGAGGTCTTGACCGGCTTGTGTTTGCTGGGTATTATGGAAGGAAAGGAAGCTGGATTCTTCGAAGTGAAAGTTGATGCTGTTCAGAAGATCAAATATAAATGCTTATGGATTTTGGCTTTTTGGTGTAATGTACAGGATGTAAAAGATGAAAATAGCTTGGTAGATTTCATAGAGTCACTACAGGGATAAGGAATGTAGAGCCTTTCTTTTTGTTTTTGTTAGAAGGATCCCTAACTTTGTAATGTGCTAGAACCACCACCTTAGTGCCAGACTCTTCTTCTATTAATATACTATTCTATTACTTACCTGTTCAATAAATTATCTTGCTTAAGTGCGTCCTCCAGTTAAAGAAATGGCTCTAACCTCATGATTAACCTCTAGATATGTTGCTAAGCTTTGTTTTCTGGTTGAAAAGATGATTTTGCTTGTGAACCAACTAATGCTCTCTTTCTCTATTAATTCTAACTCGGTTTATTGGTCATGATATGCAGCTTCTGTACAGCCTTCTCATCGTTGCGGTTGAATTGGTGATTTTATGTGTAAATTTTGAGATGGCTCTGTATAAACTAACATTATCGAATATGTACATGCTGTCACAAAGCTTTGGTCTTGTAGCTAATGTTTCACATTTTAAAAGAAAGTAGCCAATGCTTTTGGTGTATTTTTGAAGAACATCTGCACGTAATACCATTACCTATACATATGTCATATTCGTCCAACACGGGTACATCAAGGCAAAAGAGTCCATACTAAACCTATGTGCAATTATGGTGCAGAGTCGCAAGGAATTTGAGAAAAATATTGTTTACCTCAAAAAAAATGTGACTAACAATTAAAGATAATTTGTCGTTTTAAATAATTACCTCGCAAATATTATGTCAGAATTTATTTTTCCAAAATCTATTAAAGAAAAAGTCAGATAATGAAATACAAAAAAGAGAATAGAAATAGAGGGAAATAATAGCATAAGATGAAAGAACTTGGAGCGGAAAAGAAAACTACAAACTGATGCATATAACGCGAGAAAAGGTCGATGAGAAAGATTCACTCACTTTTCCCATAAGAGTTACGCGACGCCTTCCTGAGATTCCTTGCAATGTCATGACCCAATTTTTCCCTCCGTTAGGTATCGTGATGGCACCTAGTCTTAGGGACTAGGTAAGCCTAACAATTTCTGAATGACAACAATAATAAGGAAAATCTAACAGTCTCGATATAGAAATCTTTACAAAACTTACAATTTCCGAAAATCGGTAGTACAAGTCATAAGCTCTACTGAGTTTGCTAGAAAAACTCTAAAATACAACTGTCTCGAAATAAGAGTGAACAGTGTAAATACAAAATAAGAAGGTGACTCCGAAGCCTGCGAACGCAATAACAGGTTTACCTTGAGGTCTCCACAGCAATGGTCCACACAGCTACTAGCGAATCGATACCTGAATCTGTACAAAAATGTACAGAAGCTTAGAATGAGCATACGACAACGGTGTATCAAGACTAACCTCGGTGGAGTCACTACTAAAAAATTAGGTTTTAGCGACGGACAAATTTTGTAGCTAAACAGAAAAATTCGTCGCTAATCTCATATAGCGACGGACCAGTGACAGATTATCAAGAAATTCTGCTAGGTACGAGCGATTTAGCGACAGATTAGCGACGAAGTTCGTTGCTAATTCCAGTTTTTTGTAGTGAGTAGTGAGGAGGAACAGTCAAGACATCTACTGGTCTAATAAAATAAACAAGTATAAGTATAGGAACAACAGTGCATGATTTCTACATGAAAACTATGCAATATGACTAACAATACAGTAAATACAATAAGAAAGGGGAAACGACAAGTATCGGCGGAATACCATAATAATGACACAGAAGAGTGAGCGGAAACACAACTTAAATTCGAAATCACAGATAAAAAGGACAAATAATAACTCAGAAACTATAACAATTAACAGCTCTCACATTTAATTTTAGTCAACAACCTTTACGTAGTATCGAACCTCGGATAAATTACAACTCACGGGTCCCAATACCTGAACCCTAACACTTCGCATCATGTGCCCTCATCACACCTCATAATTGCACTGACGACTCACGTGCCAAAAAGAGCCATTCTCACATGGAAGGCAAGCAAACAAAGGTGTGCATCTATACTATCAAGAAAACCTCTTATCCGATAAGGGTGCTTAGCTACGTGTATACTTGTGCCAGTGTCCTAACATAGTTCATACAGCTAGTAAGCATAAGGAAAAGAATAGAACTAATGGCAGGCAACAACTCAGAACACAGTGATAACAACAGGGGATCTCCTAGGATACCGTCCCGTAGTCCCAAAAGTAAAGGTGCAGTGCTGGGGGATCTCCTGGAATACCGTTCCGTAGTCCAAAAGTAAATATGCAGTACAGGGGGATCTCCCTGAATACCGTTCTGTAGTCCCAAAGTAAATATGTAGGGGGATCTCACGGAATACCGTTCCGTAGTCCCAAAGTAAATAAGCAACGCAACCAACAGAGATAACAATTACAGCACCGCAGAAATCTCGTCAATCACCACAGCAAGTACAACAACAACAATGAAAATAATACATAATACAACAAGTAAATCAACTCAAGAACTTTAAATCACAAATAAACGGTAGAACTCATTCACAAGGAATAACCCTAATAAAGAATTCTAGGCATAAAGAGAACATCTTAACAAGGGAAAAACTAAAATGTAGCAACGATCCCACAATTTACAATTCAACCACAAGGAAACTAACAAGGGTCAAATAATTCCAAATAGTGCTATGTCAGCCGTAATATAGGATATCTAACTTCTTTTAAGGTTGAGCAATTACGAATGTTATTCAACAATTTAATTAAGGATAAATGACAGAAAGATAATCGCAACCTCAGTTAAGACTAAACAATTATATGATGAGACACTAATAATTTCAGATAAAGATAGGCAGTTATGAAAAGATAGCATGTTAATAGGAGAGGTACAAATCTTCAATTAATTCAAATAAGAGTCAAATAGGCCATATGGGTGAATTATTAAGCAATTAATTCCAATTAAGCATGTAGAGGTGAAACTAGCAATTAGGAAACTCAATCATATCAAGAATAACTCCCTACTTAGTGAATATAACGACCTAAGAATCCTAAAATGGCCAATTTTCTACAAATAAGTCCGAGCACGCACTAGTCACCTCGCGTACATGAACTACAACCAATATAGAAGACCCAAATCCTAAGGGGAATCCCCTGCACAAGGTTAGGCAAGATACTTATCTCAAAGAAGACAGACCAATACTCTAAAATGCACTTCTCGGGTGAAAAGACCTCCGGACGGCTCAAATCTAACCAAAATAACTTCAAAGCACAAATAAAACTCATAAGAAACTATTCTGGATCATAAAGTCTCAATCCTTAACAAAATTCAAAAATTGGCCGGATAGTCGACCCCCGTGCCGGCACCTCGGAACCCGAAAATTTTACAAAAATCGAATACCCATTCCGATACGAGTTCAACCATACAAAATTATCAAATTCCAATACCATTGTGCTCTTCAAATCATGATTTTTCATTTCCAAAACTTTTTTCAAAAACCAACATTATCCTCAACTCAAAACACAAATTAAATGATAAAAACAAAGATAAAATAATGGAATATTTTAAATTTTAGGTGAAGAACACTGACCCAATTGAATTGTTTGAAATATCCACAAAGAATCGCTCAAAAACGAGCTCTACAAGTCAAAATATGATGAAAATGGCCTAATCCTCTATTTGGAAAACTTATATTCTGCCCAGGTCCGAAAGTATCGCAAACGTGGAGAAAGGGACGTGTTCGCGAAGGAGAAAAATTTAAGGCTGCCAAGAAGTGCTTCACGAACGCGAAGTCATGCTCGCAAACGCGGAGAAGAGAAGATAGAAAACTACGCGAACGCAAAGAGCAACGACCACCAGTGCTCAGGGTCTGGTTTCTACTACGCGAATGCAGAATGGAGGACACGAACGCGAACGCGAACGCGAACGCGCTAAAGGGAATGCATAGAGATACACGATCGCATGGCATATTACGCGAACGCGAAGAAGTAAAATAGGGCAGGTCGACAGAACACTACGCGATTGTGACTGGGACTACGGGATCGCGAAGAGGACATCAGACACCAGAAACAAACAATCCAGAAATAGAAGAAATTGGCCCGTTTCCCATCCGAAACACACCTTCGGCCCTCGGGACCCCGTCTAAACATACAAAATAGTTCTACAACCTAACACGGACTCTCAAATCGCGCCACGAATCGAACTATGAACTTTGGAATCTTCCAACATTTAAAACTCACGCCGAAACCTATCAAATCTACCCGGAACGATGCCAAATTTTGAAAGCAAGTCCCAAATGACAAGACAGAGCTGTTCCAGCTCTTGGAATTGCATTCCGACCCCGATATCACAAAAGTCAACTATGGGTCAAACTTCTCCATTTTCCAAACTTCAACTTTTCCAACTTTCGCCGAATTGCCTCAAATTACTCTACGGATCTCCAAATCCAAATCTGGACGCACGCCCAAGTCCAAAATGATGGTACGAAGCTTACGACATCATCCAAAACTCCTTCCAGAGCCGTTTACATAAAAGTCGAATTCCGTTCAAATTCTCACCGCTTATGCTTCCAAAACTAGATTCATGTCTTCCAATTCGACTCCGAATCATCCGGTAACTGAATTCGAGCATGCATGCATGTCGATACACATAATATGAAGTTGTTCAAGACCTTACACTGCCGAATGGAGCTTAAATTCTCAAAAAGACTGGCCGGGTCGTTACATCCTCCCCCTCTTAAGCAAACGTTCGTCATCGAACGTGCCAAGATTTGCCTTGAAGTCCTCAAATCACTGAATGCACACTTCCAACATACACTCGCGGGTGACCGCACATCGCCACCATCCACATAAGCCTGACGACGCCATCTCAACTGTAATTTAGCCTTTTTACCAATACCAGTAAGCCTTAGAGCAAAAATTCTCATCTTCCATTCATTTCCAAAAGAACCGATTCTAAATCCATATCCGGTATCAGTCTCAACTAGATGCATCAACTCATGCCTACACCCATAGAGTACAACCACATAACATGGCACATCACACATAGGCCCATAATAACATTTCTGATCACAATATCTGCACAGAATCAAATCCAGCACCGACCATTAGCCTCATATTCAATAGGAACCCATTTCAAACCTCCACAACACTGATGATACAAAAACCATGAAAACCTCATAACTAAACACTCGAATCAACAAGTCACAACTAACACCAACGGGCCCACACCCCACATGCTAAAATTCAAGAAGCACAAAATGAAAATGACTAAATATGTAAAGAGAAACACATAAGAGAAATATCAAACAAGCCCGACATGCACAACTCTCTATCAGTACTATCTTACGAAACAATATAACAAAGAAAGAATTAAAGCATATGAATAGATCACAAGGATCTCATCCTGATATAACTTCCATCGCGGTACACAACCC